GATAGATTCATAGTATGATATACATATATATATATATATATATATATATATATAAATATACTTGTTTTTCAAAGATGTGTGCTGTTACGCACAGAGAGATTTTATAATTTATGTGCTCTGAAACCCGTGGACGTTTATCAATCACAAGGCTGTGTTCGTTAATATGGATGTATACAATGATGCGTATGCACAAATATACATTCAAACACGCGAAAGAGCTATCCATGTACATAGTTTGTCAATACTGTTCGAAGTAGTGTTTTGGTGATATTCATGATCATTTGAATATAGGTTTATGGGCATTGTCTATTTATACCAATATTTATAGGTAGAGGAACGTCCTTGATTCGGTGCGTAGACCTACGCAGATTCGAACACACCAATTGTAATCCCAAGCAGCCTGGGCTGAGGTGCGTACACACTCATATACTATAAGCGTATTCTTGTATCAAGTTACGTTCTTGCTCCCCTAAATGAAGCAGCAACTAAGGAATATACACACTACCACCACAACTCATGCCCCCACCTCCAAACACAATTTGCACGGGTAGAGTACACGGCATATCTGCTGCCACATGTGTGTACACGGACAGAAGAACACATTCAACCCTAACTAGAGACTGCATTAGTCTTACTACGTATATACTCGCATACGTACACAGGCACCACAGACAACTTCAGCACTTACCAGGGTATAGTTACGGAACAAAATCGACACGTATGCGTCTACAGTTAGTGACACACATATTGTCCCAGTAACACAACGCATTGGATTTGCCACACCAATTACCGCATACGCCAATAGCTGCCTATCACAGACAACCTAATCATCTACAAAGGTAGAATACACCGAAAATATCGAAACTTGTGTGTACACAGCCTCATGTACATGCATAGCCCCAGCAAGAGACTGCTTGAGACTTGCCACGCATCTACTCGCGTACAGCCACATGCACACACACACACACACACACACACACACACATACACACACACACACACACACACACACACACACACACACACACACACACACACACACACACACACACACATGACTTACAAGGGTAGATTACACTGTACATCAATATCTACGTGTGTGTATACAGCCAGCATCACCCGCATAGCCCCAGCGATAGCCTGCAACAGACATGCGATGTATATGCTTGCGTGCCAGACGGACCAAACCCCCAGCGGCTGTAGCAGTTCATCGACTGTGCTGGGCTCAACGACTGCGTCTCTGCCAACATGGTCGTGTTTCATACCGCCTACCTCGACAAAAGGCATTGTTGTGTTGTAGTGTGGTTGCGGTGTGGTGTGGTGTGATTTATGTGAGCGACGAGATGAGATAAAATGAGACGTGGTGTGGTGTGAGTTCACACTTAGCTCGTAGTTGTATTTGCATCTATTTTTATTTTTGTGAGGTTATGTTTATTAGACAGCTATAATGCTGCTAGGGTGTGTATGTAGTAGGCGCTTTCTTATCACATCGTTTGAACAAGCAGTCTAGTCCGTATCTGTAGATGCCAACTACTGTAACTAGTGGTGGTGTATGCTTTTTGCTTCAGCAGGTTATTGTTATGATTTATGATCCAAGTATTATTTATTCTTTTTTTTCAATATAAAATGCATACAAACAAACCCTATCCACATTCCGTCTCACTGGTATCAGTTGCGCACAACCTAGGGATTAGCATATTTCTACTGCATACATCAGACATCGTGGTCACACACATAGGCACACACACAGCGTGAAGTACGGACTCGCAATGGGGATGTGAACATATGGACATCAATACTATGTGCACCACCTAATAAGCGACAGGAAAACGAACGGATAGAATGACCGAGGCGTCACACGAAAGTGCAAACGAACTGGGCGACCATACGGCTGCGCCAAAGGCAACTACTACCAATGCAAGTATAGAGAATGTGGATACGCACGCTTCCGGGCGTGCATTTACACACAATACACTCAGCGATGCACATCCACACGAAAAGACTGGCAATGCCGATAGCGAAGAAACAGATAAGGTGATAGAGGATAGAAAGAGGTCAATAGAAATAGCAACCTCTGAGAGTGCATTGGATAGTAAGCGTCCCAGGAGAGAGAGAACGTCTCACTTCGGACTGGAGAGGATTGTCGGCTGTCGGCCATTCAAATAGTATGTATTCACAACCCCACCAGAGATTGCACAACGTACCGCAATCGTATATAGTTAGCTTAAGGCGTACCCACACATATAAGTACTATAGTGAATGTGTATGTGCTATTAGATGCAGTGTCCATGGCTAGTGATTGCGTATCATCTGTATGCAGGTGAATGTGTGTATGAGGGCATATTCTGGATGTCTCAGCTTATCCGCACATGTATGTGAGGAGATAAATTCAAACAGGCACGCGCCACGCATATCATCACCATGGCGTACAACACACGGACAACCAAACTGCTATGGTACTATATATATACTGCACACACTTCAGCAGAGCGGTGATGGTATACCATTCATTCAACTCACGTACTCACTGTGTGTATGTGTCTTGCATTGGCCATCGCTTGAAATAAGTATGATCTGTGGCTTTCTTGTACGTGCCTATACTATTTGGTATTTTTATCCTGTTGTGTTTACTGTAGATGGTTGTTCTTTTTATTCTACTGTCTACTGTAGATGGTACGGACTTTGATATCAGACATCCTTCCCTTTCGCATAGGGAGAGGGATAACATTAGACTAACAATGCCTCTCTGCTACTTCTTTGATGGTCTAGTGAAACCTATGGATTTGCAGCGGAGCGAAGGGGTGAGAGAGACACGATGCAGGATGCGCACACTATCATGAATGATTTATGGGCTGAATACGGTAGGTGTATACGTCTGTGAATGGTTTCTATGCCTGATTTATAGACCAAATACGACAAGTGTCGATGTCTGTGAATGGTTTCGATGGATGATTCATAGACTGAACACGACAAGTGCTGATAAGTGTGAATGGCAACGTAGATTATTTATAGACTGCATCCGTTAAATACGCGTCCACGTCTATGAATGGTTTCTGTCGTATGAACGATTTGTCGACTTAATTTAGTATCATTCATGGTTACAACTCGTCTCTAGACTACATATGGTGCTTTGTCATAGCCAAGTTCTAGAAAGTGGATTCAACTCGGATAGTTTTCATTTTAACCGCGCATGCCTCGAATCAACTACTAGCTCTTCCCATTGCTGCTGTTGTTTCGCATACCATACACAGTGTAAAATTATCACTTTGCATGAATGTCACACAGTTTCAATAGAAGTAGTGCCGCATACTGTCACTATTGCGGATCTTTGGATTTGAGTGCTGTTTTGAATGATCCATACGCCTCGTATCGTAAGGAATGTATAAAGCAGGAGCCGCTTCTACGGCCGGCAGTATACGTACGTATATAATTCCAATATCCCTTTTGCATCTCTCAACGGTGTGTATTTAGTAAGAGATGTATAATGCAGGAACGGCTTCTACGGCCGGCAGTATACTTACGTATATGCTTACAATGTCCCTTTTGCACCTCTCTACGGTGTGTACTCATTACATCCCGTGCTCGGTAAAACCGGAAAATTGTATCGGGGATGTTGCACACTTCCTGTCTAGCACGCAGTTATGAACCAGCACATTATCGCGCGCAGTGTGGGGGATGCACCAAACGAGGCCTACACTTGCCCCGCGTAGTCGTTCAGAGCTATTTGCGAGTGACCACTGCTATCCATAACTCTTCGCATGTATAGCCATCACCTTGTCATCGTGTTGTATTCTGTACTTCCTGCATTCGTGGTAGCATGTTAATTGCTTTGAATTCGTCTCTTTTTCGAACTCTTTCAGGCAAAGCAAGGCCTTTGGAAGCTCCCAGGTTAGCGTTCTACGGAGTGTATGATGGGCATGCAGGCGATAGAGCTGCCAAATATGCCGCGGTATGTCGCTTGTGCGTTTGTGAGTACGTTGTGTACAGTATAAGTATGTGCTTCAGTCGTGTTTGTGAGGTGAGATAGTAGGCCCACCGGTCATCATACAGACAGCTAAAATTGCCTGTCCCGTGCAACACCCTCCACAGAAGCACCTGCATATCCACTACCTGAACAACGTGGCTGGCTACTTGGAAATGAAGGAGTCCGGGTTGATTGCCGAGATAGGGCCCAAGGAGCAGCGGAAATGCATTACCGACGCATTCAAGACCACAGACACGGACTTTTTAAAGTATGAAGTGCGTGTCCTGGACGCGTTGTTAGACTTGAATGTTGTGTGTCGATAAAAGTATTCAGTAGCCGGTTGAAGCAGTGTACTATAGCTGTTCTTTTCAGTACGGGAGCTTCATCTCGAGGACATACCTGTGCATAGGTTGAATACGTGTGCGTACAAGAACTAATACACGTCTGTTTAGGCAAAACGATATCGGTCTCTATTCCAACTATTCTGCATCGTACCACACAGGCTGGCTGCTTCCCAAGGCTGGAAGGATGGTACTACCGCTGTTGTAGTGATTCTGTACGATGACTACATGCTCGTGGCCAATTTAGGGGATAGTGGAGCCGTACTCGCAAAAGATATCGGTATGTGTCATTTTATTTTTCTGTTGAGCTACAGATTTAGGTATGCGTCAATACAGTTCGATGATAGCCGAAATATTAGTTATTTTCATTTGATAGCTAGAAACATATATATATTGCTGTGCTAGCTAAAGACTAAAGTTTGTGTCAAAGCATGTAGATACACACACACGAATATACATATATATATATACATATATATATATATATATATATATATATATATATATATATATATATATATATATATATATATATATATATATATATAAATATATTATATATATATATATATATATATATATATATATTCATACATATATATATATATATATATATATATATATATATATATATATATATATATATATATGTATATATAGATATATATATATATATATATATATATATACTTTATACATGCATTTACATATCTATATATATTTATTTATACATATGTACAGATTTTCATCTTTATAATTGCGATACAGGTACAGTGGAGACCGAAAGCAGCGATTACAAGGCATTGTTGGTTACGAAGGACCACAACCCCATGGTGCACACAGAGCGGATGCGGATACAGAAGGCGGGAGGGAGTGTTACTAACGGACGGATCAATGGCATACTGGGGGTGTCGAGATCGATAGTATGTGCACATTCATCGATATTATTGAATACAGTGAGTATCGCTGCATGCCAGGTCTTCACGTGTGCAAGCCTGTGGTAAACCGAGTATATGCACTGTCTGTGTATACCAAGTGAGGAACACCATTCTGGATGAAGTAGTATTACACAATTTTAAACGCGTTTGGTCAATCTCAAGGCTAAGCAACTTTATATACAAATTACATGCGGTACTATCGGGTGTGCTGCGCATATCTTCGCAAAAGATGTAACCACTCGTATTATATATCCCGCTCTGCCTTTCACAAAGGTAATTGTGTGCATAACTGTGCCACAGATGTGACCTCTGCGTTAAAATACTTTGTAACTGTTCGCACCGAGAAACCCTTGCCTCTATCATTACAACAGGCGCGACTATTCTAATTTCACTGTTACACTTATCTATAGGGCGACGGTGCTTTCAAGCGTCTGGGACTGACTTGCGTTCCGGAAATTGTGGCGGCATCCTTGACGTATGATTGCTGCATAGTGTGCGGGTGATAAGCAATAAATATATAGAGAGCGACAAAAAGCTGTGTATTGCTTAGTACATTAGTATATCGAGCGTAGTGAACCTTCACTTGGTAGATGGGTACGTCTCCTATGGCAAAAGGTGAGCGCGTGTGATTAGGTTGTCTCGGTATGGATAGTACTCACTCATTGTGTATTGTACCTCACTTAATCAATATAGCGGAAAGGAGAAGCTTGTGATTATGGGATGTGATGGGCTCTGGGGCGATTTAAACCGGCCAGATGCTGTTAAGTTTGCCGGTAAGCGATGTGCAGGCTTCTCCCCAGAGAATGCGGTTGTTTTGTATCGGTATTATAGAGTAGTCGATTGTATTGTACACTAATTATCGTTGCTAACAAGAGACTTTAGCACTAACCGATAATATTATTGGGGTGAACCCTCGTTTCTGTCTGTTGTGTAATTTATTTACATACGTATTTGTATCCGTATTCATTCCACTAGAGTCATATTGTCGTTCCTCCCGTCTAAACTTATTGTATTGCCCGCATTGTAGATGGTCTAATTGGCATGCTAACAACTATTCGTTTACCTTGTGTTGTGTGACTTTTTCTAACACATCTATACACCCACATTTCTATGGATACTGTTTGTGCAGGGACTTACATGCGGAGCGAAGAGTCCCTTACTGTGGCAAAGGGAATTTTGGATCGGCAAGAACTGAACTTCTCAGATGCAGAATTGGTATGTCATTCGCATTGTGTAGTGCACCCCAATCTGTGTATACTCTCGAATGCATCACTTTGATTAACGCCGCCAGCCGACTGGGTAGTTTGCCATTCTCTGTGTGCAAATGAATACCCAAAACCATTAATACAATTCTAAGTCATCTGTTTGTACACAATTGGATACCCAACCATCAGAGAGAGAGGCGTGTCGAACGCCCTGCCACACTAAGACGCATACTTGTCCAGAGTGTGGTGAAGGCTCTGGTGAATGAGGCGGTGCGCAAGGGCAGCACAGATAATACATCAGCTCTTGTGATAGGAATTGGTGAGGTTTCACAAGCGTAATAAAGATAAGACATACAATATCTGTACGCGTAACTTAAGTGTTGACGTCTTGAAATATAGTACTCATCGGCGTCTTTGTAGTGTGAGGTACATATACACACACACTAAGTGAAGTTGTAGTAAGGTCAGCGATAATTTTGTGTAGCATATTCTGTATAGAGCTGCCCGCGTCGAACAAGGAGTATGGAAATTTATATAAATTTGAAATTTATATGTGTGCAATAATAACCTTCTAAAATATAAATACTACAGTACAGTTGTACTTGTGTACATAAATATAAAGGAATGTTCAATTTTCAGAAGGCTATGGAAAATTGGAAATACATAGTTTTTTAGTACATATTTACACAAAGTTCTGTTTTCAATACACTTTTTTTATGTTTTATACAAAACAATTCAAAATATGTACAGCATGGGGTTTTTTTTTAAATAAATACATACTCGACTTCCGTACAAATTTATCATACGACTGTTTGTCAGATTGAGATTGTCGATTGAATTCAGAATTCCATCTGTCATATATTTAGGCATTTACTCTTTACAAAATGTGCTCTTTCTTTTGTATATATTTAACTTGTATCTGCCTTTTGTTTGTTTTTTTGAAAGTCACAAACAAAAAACATGTATTTATATATGATGTACATTTATACATACATACGTATTTATTTTCAATAAATAGATAAATACATACACTGTCTCAAAATGACAAAGTCACAAGATATTTGTTTGTTTTTTTAAAATAAAATACTAAATATGCGCGGTGAAATTCCAGACTAATATTAGCTAAATAGAGATCCACGTATTCGTTCCTTCACTTCATAAGTTCATAGGATGCATAATTGCAGACGGCGATTGGGCACTCACCTGAAGACTGCAGTTGAGAAATGAAAGTCAGCTACAATCGTCATGGCGCTACATAAAGTACCATACCACAATAGAAAAAATAATGTAAATAAAACTTTCGTAATCGATTTTTAAATACAGCACAAGAACATACTTTTTTTTTTACATGCATCCTTTTCCGAAGTCGGGTGGTTTTTTAAATTCTATAAAACCAACTCACCATATCACAAAGATAACTACAATAACTAAGTAAAATATTGTTCAATATCTAAATGCATAGTACTCAGCCCGTAAACTATTAGTCAAGATGACATCAGATACATTTACAACACCTGTTCAGAAGGATGCGCCACCACCTTATATTCAAAATGAAGAATCAACGAACGAAAAACCCAACAAGGCACGTAGTAATTTTTAGATGCGTTTATAACTGGCTTGATGTGATGGCAAATACAGATCTGGAATATTTGTTCGAGCTTTCTTTTTCCAAGATCTGAAGCTTTCATGCACTGTAAATTTTACTACATAGTATTGCAAAGTCGATAGAACTAAGAAGAAGCAAGAGAAACTATAGTTGTGTATACAAATGGTGTGTTGTAATGGCATATTATACAGATCAGGTGCTCGAAATTGGCATTAAAAGTATTCTGAAACTTTCATAAATAAACTATTCAGTTTACTGCCTTAATATGGCAAGGACGAAAAAGTTTAAATGGCGTGTAACAAGGTATAGTTGAGTATGCAAAGGCCGTGTTATTGTTGAATAAAACACAGAAATACGTATTTGAGCATTCCCAACCAACAATACTAAAATTCAACGTGTCATGATACCTAAAATTCAACGTGTCATGATACATATTATTAAATTCTGTAGACTTTGCAAGCTTGGACAGATAGGAATACCTTAGATATCGAAGAGACAGATACCGTTTGTGCAACTACCCAGCAGACGTCTAATAGTCAGGAAGCGACACAGGAAGTCAAAGACTCAAAGAACCGCAAAGGACCAGTAACATGGCTGATGTATTTGACTGTTATGCACACTAGAAAGATGTTGCTGATTTGGTTTACAACCATGGTAAGTTGGCACTGTTTTATCGTCGATGGCATTTTCGTCCCAAGTGTTTGTTGTTGAATTTGCTTTTGCAACAAACTACATAGCCATGTGATTCTTTCCCGTTGTATTTCTGATTGAAACACAGATCGTTTTCTCCGTGACCGCGCTCATACTATGGCCAACTGTTGAATTCTATTCCGATGATTCCGAGGCCTTGAGAGTCAGTGGTCATCCGTCAAACTATGCGAATGACCACCAAACGGCATTTTACAATGCTTTTCCCGGTTCCGATGGCTCTCGACCTACCGAGGGGTATGTATGCAGACTTGGAGGTGATGCTTCAACTCATAGTTTGGCCTCATATACGCTCATACTTACTTGCACCAGCGTAATTCTCTGTACCAATATCGTCTCGTGTAATTGTTTGGCGTATTACTCTGTGTGTCATTCCATAGTACCAAGATAGTCGTGGCGATACTTTCGTTCTATAAACTAATTGATTTGGTATTACACATGGTTGCCGTCGGTCTGCATCCAGTCTCACTTATGCATCTGTGCCTTATATTCCATTCAGAATTAGTTTGGTACACAGACGCAGTGCGTTTTCGAAAAGGACTCCGACGAAAATTCAAGTAAGTTACAAGTTCCCGGTGTGAAAGCCTTGTATAGAGAGACAAATGTTTAATTTGCACTTCGCCTTTTGTTGTGGTTGTGCTACTAATATGTATTGAATGCAAGTATGTCTTTCGTAGCATCTGTGCTTATTGACCGATTAACGTGATAATACAACTATCAAAGTCGACGCTTAACTCGCACCTCAAACCGATATAAAAACACAGCGGTTGATTGTAATCTATCGATCGACCAACGGCGATAGCAGAGGTGTTCTGGAGCCCAATGCACTGAGAAGAATTCGAGATGCCGAGCTAGCTCTGCAAAGGTCGTCCACATACCAAAAGCACTGCAGCCGGAATAGTGCCGAACAGTGCAAGTCTGTTAACAGCATCATACCAGGTACAAGCTGCGTATACTTGAGTTTTTATCGTAATTGGGAAACTTTGATGCACCATAATTTTGATAGCAGCATCATACCAGGTATAAGCTGCGTATATTGAAGCTTTAACGTAAATGTGGATCTGCATATTACTTTGGTGTACCGTGAATGCGGAACTGCATATCAATACTTTGTGAGAAGTCAAGAAAGTCAGCTATGAAGTGCAGGAAGATACCAAAGCCGTAGTGGGTACACAAGCCACATAACACAAGCATATATGTCTAGCAGCTACTCAACAACATCAAACTCTCTTGGCAGCCTACTTCCCCAGTTATAGCTCTGGCGGCAGCCTGCTATATGATATGTCCGGCGCTATCGTACCAAACATTGCCTTAGCAACAAACAGGTATGTGGTACACTCCGTACGACATCATTTTCACTCCTTCGTTTATATACACCTCAATTCCTTCGTTCAGCAACAGCAACATATCTGTACTCATCGTATGTCTCGCTTGCTACCGTGCGATTGACTGTATTCAGGATACTGCTCGCCTACACGGACGAGGTACCTTTCTACTACGAAGCCACAATACAAACCACACCAACGAAGTCTCGCATTGTGCGCTCGAGTTTCCAATTCGGCAATGCGGGCGATTCCATGGATGATATCAAGCATGCTATGTATGCTGCCCAGGAAGAACTGCGGTCGTTCTCAAATGATGATATAATGATTGTCTGCGGAAACGACAAGTTACTGGACCAGGATTTAGAGGATGTATGTCTGACCCATGCATGGTGGTCGAATGTGTTTAGATTGTCTGTTTTCGGTGTATCTTTAACTATCCCTATCCTCAACTGATGACACGATGATTGTCTGCGGAAACGGCAAGTCGTCTGTTCGAAAACGGACTACTTCTTATTCAGACTGGTGTGGGTGTGGCTGTACGTGTCACAAATCATCGGTCATACACCCAATGTGGGTCTATATGTTCACACTGGAATTTGCACAGAGTTCCCTCTGTGCTGCCGTTGAAACCTCATTCGTCCTACAATGCACCTCATTTTACATATAGACCTGCACCTTTCCCATCACATGACTTATTACTGTACTGCAGGAATCTTCCTATTCGTACAATGTACTAGTTCTCACAAAAAGGGGCAGCACAACACTGATCAATCATTCACCTCCTATGTTACCAATAACACACTATCCGCACAGGCTCTGACACACGACTACATCTTGCTGGCGATAAGCTTGCTGGTGCTATTCCTGTGCATGTGGGTGTTCCTCAACTCGCTCTTCCTGGCCTTGTGCGGGCTCATGGTCATCGCCATCAGTGTACCCATAGCCGTGTTTGTCTACAGCGTCGTATTCCAGATCGACTACTTTGACGCCATCAATCTTGTGGCCATATTCGTGTCGCTCGGTAAGTGGCTAGCACGTTCGCACACCACATACAGTGCCAATTGCATCGAGTGGTTCGGAATTGCGAGCCAGATGGCTTGCTCGAGTTGCCAGTATAGAAGTAGGTATCAACTTAGAAGTACGTATTGACTGCATACATGACACTTTCAGACAAAGAAGCCCCCGTACGAATCACTAATATTGACTACATCACCATGCATCACGCGCAACAGGAATCGCCGTGGACGACATATTCGTTTTTACTAATTTCTTCAAACAGGTCAAGCAATCGACCCCATCTGGTGGGGACACACACTCTCTCCCTATCGCTGGATCTCCTGTAGTCATAGTCGGCAGCACAGAGAAGGCACAGACGCCTCTCGGAGACGCAGGTACTCCATCCTGTGCACAGTTACACACTCTTACAGCTGGTGCGATCAATCCCGACGCACCCGAGATACACCTCAAAGCCTCGCTAGGGCTAGACGCGGGTACCGAAACACATATAGAGATCGAAGTCGAGCCGCAGCATCCGAGAGTGTTGGCGCTGGCCTCGGAGAGCAGTAGGTCAGATACCCGCAGTGTGTCTGGCTGTTCGGGCGATGGGGTTTCCGAGACAGGAGAGATTCTATCGTTAGAGCCAGAGGTGAAGAACCCGCCGACCGCACCGGAGGCTGGTAGGTGGCACACTCTATTGCTTGTGGTTATTGTTTGGGGGTGGTGTTGTTGGTGTTGCTGTTGGGCTGTGCTGATGCGGTCACAGGGCCGACCCACACACTGGGAGATGCGTACGGCACAACACAGCTCGGCATAGTGCAACACTGGCTCAGTCATGCGTGTTACACGCTGAGAAGGCTGGCTTCATGGACCGCACACTACGCGAGAGGATAGTTGCCTATCGAGTCTTTAGTTATAGTTTTGTTCTGAGAGGACTAGTTGTCTATTGAGTGACTATTGAGTACTCAGTTACAGTAATTTTTGTGGTGAAGACGGTAATGCACCATGGTAACTTGCTTCGTTGTTCATGTCTACATTTGCTGATCCATTCTCTTGAACTGTAGCTGTGGAAGTAGCTGTTACGGATAAAGGAGAGGCCGTGCAGCTGTATGAGATGAGTGACACAGAGCTCATGGACAGACTGCAGCGCAGCTACCGCAAGTCAGCCAAGGTATGGCCATACCACTCAGTACATAATGCCGCATGTACGTGTTCCGCACAAATATATCGGGCATTGTACCGAGATGGCCGAGGTGAAGGTTTACACACACAGTTTAACCAAGAATATTCAAGCTGGAGGGGATTGCTGGCTACACTATCGGGCATTGTACTTAGTATACCTTCATACCGTGTCTGGCCTGCCGAGATGGCCGAGTTTTACACACGCAGTTAAACTAAGTTCATTCAAACTGGGACTGCGATTGTACTATTGACTATTGTAGGGTACACTATCAAGTATTGTACTTTGTTCGCCTTCACACCGTGTCTGGCCCGCCGGGGGTTTATTTACACGCACAGACTATATTATTTTTAAACCGTAGGCTATCTTCCTGACATCAATGACAACGGCTGCCTCAGTGCTGTCCACGCTGGTCTCGCCCCTCAAGGTGGTGGACACCTTTGGCATCTTCATGGGTGTGTAGTGGCTTGGCCGATTCTATCGCACGCAGTTCGGTACCCATCTGAACTTCTATTCGTCTGTAGTATTCAGAGCTTCGGTTATTCTGTACCTGCGGAACCTCCATTGTATTCAACTTTATTATTTCATTGGGTGCAAAGCCAAATAGACAGTCCGCTTAGTTCACGCGCCTATAGTACATTAGCCCCCTATTCACCCACATATGTGCATCTACCGACACAGCTATACTGGTCATGACCAACTACGTGCTGGTAGTCACCCTGTACCCATGTCTGGTAGTGGAGTGGGCAAGGCGGTACGAGAACGGGCCAGGCTTCATGAGCACTGTGGCCGACTGGTGCCGTTGTCAGAACAAAGCCGTGCGTCACATCTGTGAATACGATATACACGAGGTGGGTAGGCGCATGCATGGTGTAATTGCGCAGAGGTCACGTAGTGCAGCCAGTAGTTTAAAACACGGGGGGTGGTACTCCCTTGGAGGAATGCAAATCGACGCCAGGCAGAAATGAGTAGGTACTATAACTATATCAACCCTTGTCTCTAGTGTGCGCTACTACTTGGACGACAGTGTGTTAGGCACACGTCTATACTCTACATCAACCAACACACACTCAAATAATTTACGAGAGACAATGCTCTGCACAAAGTTTGTACAATGTGTGATATTCGCACATATCGTATGTACGCACAACCGTATGTATGTGGACACATACAGACGTATATCTAATCATGACCACAAAACAAAATGGCCTTGTACGTATGTTAGCGCGAACAGGCATATAATATCCATATACACAACACTTAACCAACCCCCACAGGCACTGTGTAAGTTGTAGGCATAGCCGTACGTATGACGCGTACAGACATATAACATCCATGCACACAACACTTAACCAACCACCACAGGCACTGTGTAAGTTAGTTGCATATCCGTACGTATGACGCTTACAGACATATAACATCCATGCACACAACACTTAACCAACCCCCACAGGCACTGTGTAAGTTGGCTGCATAGCCGTACGTATAACGCGTACAGACATATAACATCCATGCACACAACATTTCACATACCCCCACAGGCACTGTGTAAGTTTTTTGCCTCACGCTACACCAACGGCGTTCTCTCGACTCGCACCCGCCGAGCAGTGGTTGCAGCCGTGTTTGGGGTGATCCTGGTGGCATCGATTATCTTCACCACTCAGCTCAAGTAAGTGAGGGATACATCAGTAGTAGTAAGTGAGGGTTACATCAGTAGTAGTAAGTGAGGGTTACATCAGTAGAAATATGTGACTACTTCATCAGTAGTAGTAAGCGAGTTGCTTATCAGTTGAAGGGAGTGATATATTCGTCCGTTTATTTCTTCCAATGGCCCGCTATAATAGTGAGCGTGTACAACTTCTGATTCTGATGCAACCCCTGATTCGCTTATGATCATGACTGTTCAACAAAAGCATACGTTGCGCAAGCTGATAAAAGCAGACCTAAACATATCGGCATCAACTACTGACCTGCCCTTTACATCTGGCATCAACTACGACCTGCCCTTTACATCTGGCATCATCTACTGACCTGCCCTTTACATCTGGTCTGCTCACACTGCAGCGTATCAGGCGACAACTTCGTGGTACTGCGTGGACAAACTAATTTCCAACAGGTACGTCCATCTGTGACAGACCCCCTTGCACACCACCCCCGGCGTTATGCATACCACTCTCTGCGAGTATACTACGATGCAGAATGGTTTGCTCTTTAGAGTTTATACACCAAGCTGGTAGGTGGCGCACCCTTCTTTCTGCTACATGGCAGACATTCCAAAAGACACTCGATTCTAAATATAGCCCACCCCCACCCCCCACACAGTGGCAGGACATCTCGCACACCTTCGGAGACCAACTCCGCGGTCGTGGTAGGTGCACCGACTGCGCCACCAAGATACAGTCCATTCAGCAGGGCCTATCGGAAGTCAATTTAGAGGGACTACTAACCGCGCCTGTAGATTTAGACCCAGAGAAACAGTATGTGCCCCCCCCTACCAACCCCGGCCCAGCGGTGATACAAGACGATGGGGAGGGTGCAGGAGATACAGACGCTTCAGAGACACCCGAAGATACTGCCAATGCTGCGGGTAGCGTGGCTGAGGTGAGTGTTGTGTGTGTGTTGAATGGGTTGTTGGAGCTTGGTCTGCAAGTGGCAATCACCGTGTATACGGCATGTAGCCCTCATTGTACGCATACAAGTATATATGTGTACTGTGTGTATGTTATTGCTCACGTGAAACCGAAACGACGCATGGCTACGACTAGCAAGCGGTGGTTGTTTTGTTTGTCTCACAGCTATTCAGTTTTGTTCACACTGACATCAGCTTATGGCATCATCAAAACATTAGCTAACGAAGTCACCCCCATATCCACGTACGAATACCATTATGACGTAATCTCATGACATCATAGGTGTCGACGAGCCTCCCTGCGACAGTGAAGCCGGCTGCGCCTATCGATACAGACACACCTACACCGACAGATCCAGAGTTATTGAGGTGAGTACAACTTCCAACTATCAATGTCAACATGATCTTGGTGCGTGTCTTAGGAGTGAATATGGGCTCTAGTCAGTGTATGGGGTGTGAATATGATTCTCGTTATTGCCTTGGTTGTGGATAAGTAAGTTTTAGTGAAGACGCTACTTACGCCCACCGCTGGCTGTGAAGTTGATCCTTGTGACTATAGTATGCTGCCCTTGACTTTTGACATCCCACCTTTGCCTTACGACTACCTCCAGATTTCAATCTGATCCTCTATAACTACAAACACGGGGTTTGTTTATAAGCACTACAAAGATCGCTGAGCGTCTAGAGATACTATACTGCAGCGTGACTGCAGTTCATATAGCACCTGACCTGCAAAGCATTCAATATGGTACCCACCGCTCACGTCACACACCAACAGCACCATAGAAAAAAACTGGGTTTAATTTTGTATATACAATCATTCTATATTTAGAATTGACACACCATAATATCTTTCCTAAATATATAACACACGCTACAATACGTCCAACAACCCTACAGGTTCAAGGGACCAATCGGAACACCAGAACACTATTCCTAGAAATATAACACACGCTACAACACGCCCAACAATCCTACAACCATAAGACTATTCCTAGATATATACCACACGCTACAACCATAAGACTATTCTTAGATATATACCACACGCTATAACACGCCCAACAATCCTACAACCATAAGACTATTCCTAGATATATAACACACGCTACAACATACCCAACAATTCTACAACCATAAGACTATTCCTAGATATATATCACACGCTACAACACGCCCAACAATCCTACAGGTTTGAAGGACCACTCGAGGTACACCCGGACGGCACATGTACGACTGCGGATGCCAACAACCTGTTCCAAGCAAGACTCGCACTGGACACCGCCTGCCCTACCAAGAAGTGTGATCAGACATGTGGCGATGCCTATGCGAAGTACAACGACAGCTACGCCCATTGTGCAGACAGCATATCTCCACCCCGTACCCTGGCGGTGATGGAGGCGTACTTGAGCATCTGTAGTGCTGCAGGTAGGTACGGCATGCCATGGCGTGGTATGGTATGGTATGGGAAGGATATGGTTAAAGTCGAGTCTGGCCATACTTGGCCTAGTACCGACTGAGTATTGAAAGTGATAATCAAATGGTGATGGAATAGAGACTGACGTGAGGCTTGTTGAATTCTGTCACCTGCTGAGTATTGAAAGCGATAATCAAATGGTGATGAAATAGACGCTTGACTTAACGCTTATTGAACTCATTACACAGGCTATCAACAACCCGCTGGCAACTTTACAAACACCAAAAACTCGGCCAAGCCGACAGACGTGAAACCAGGCAGCACAAGGTTAGTATCGACTTGCACCAGTATGTGGGGGGCGTACCTTGATCTTACAGGAAAAAAACTTTATTGGATAACGTTTTCCAACTTTGCTCGGAAAATATTTGTGTCTTAACATCACACTCCATTACCTTCAGACCACAACAAACGTCAACGTGGACACCATTGCCTCGGGAGAGGTGTGGCGAAGTCATGCGCCAGGAGCTTCAGACAGTGCTATCCACGTGTGGCACCTTCATCTCCGGTGACTCAGACTGCATACAGCCATGTGCCGTTCAGCTCAACGCTATCCAGACCCAGTGGTCCCAGTGTGTGGCAGCGAAGGCGGACATGGGCGTGGGTGAAGCCGAGACTGGGTGTGTGTGTTGCTTGTAGTCTATTGTGCAATTGTATTGCTGGTGTTGAATATGACTCATAGGCTTTCACCGCTTGACGGGCCAATATGAATGGTACATGCGTAGGGTGTGTCTAATGCAATACACACAACCAACCCTAAACCCTAAAATACGTGATGTACACACCTTGCAATAAACCCATTTTGCACACCGGCCAGGCGAGACTGTAGCGTCTCTTGCATCAACACTGCTGACTTTGTCCTCTTTTTTTGGGGGGGGGGTGCGTGTGTACAGACAATTGGAGTGGCTGCTGCAACACTGTGTCGCGGAAAAGGTCGTCCGCCTGCAGCGGGTGCGCACGATTCTGGTGAAGCTACTGTGGGGCGTCAAAGGTATGTGGGTACTTGGTTGGTTGGTTCAGGCATTCACCTTCCTTGTTTACTACTACACCTGGTAAAGGTACACGCGGCTACACATCCGGAATGCATGGTAGGGCGAACACGCAGTCATACACACTCGAACCAGTAGCTCAGGCGGTGGTGTACATTGTCAACAGCAGGACTGTATCAAACATTAAGTACAATGTTTCTGAAGACACGCGATGTGTTCAGGGGTATACACACATCCCACATTCACACTACAAACAGTCTACTGTGTAATGGAAGCATTGGTGTTTGGGGATTGAAGCAAAACGTAGTATCGACTATGAGGATGGGGCAGAGACTGGGTGAACGTGCCGAACCCCTCTTTCACTATAGAACCTTAGCCATACACATTCCACACCGAATCACACTCAGACAATAGAGATACATCACATGCCTGTCAGGATGTCAGTATACGCCACACGAAGACAGATGCAAAGCACTTCTATATACTACATACCCCACTTCGTACTCTACAGATACGTTTGCGGACAAGGTTATGGCTCTAAAATCCACTATGTACACGTACCCCACGTCATACGCTACAGATACGTTTACGGAAAAGGTTATGGCACCAAAATCCACTATGTACACGTACTTCACTTCGTACGCTACAGATACGTTTACGGAAAAGGTTAAGGCTCTAAAATATACTATGTACTCGTTCCTCACTTCATATGCTACATATACGTTTACGGAAAAGGTTAAGGCTCTAAAATCCACTATGTACACGTACCCCACTTCTTACGCTACATATACGTTTACGGAAAAGGTTAAGGCTCTAAAATCCAATAGGTACACGTACTTCACTTCGTACGCTACAGATACGTTTACAGAAAGGGTTAAGGCTCTAAAATTTACTATGTACACGTACCTCACTTCATACGCTACATATACGTTTACAGAAAGATTAAGGCTCTAAAATCCACTATGTACACGCACCCCACTTCATACGCTACATATACGTTTACGGAAAAGGTTAAGGCTCTAAAATCCAATATGTACACG